GTGAGTTCTGGCACAGCCAAGGCTACAGAGAAAAACTCTTGTCTCAAAAAAACAAAACAAAGAAGTTCAACTCTGCAATTACTCTGTATCTATCATATACATATAATATATACATATATATATATATATTATAAGTCCATGGGGGTTTTGCCTTCACTTTATCTGTGCCTGATGCCGCCACGGCCAGAAGAGGGCATTAGCTCCCCTGGAGCTGGAGTTACAGACAGTTGTGAGCTGCCATGTGGGTGCCGGGAATAGAACCCAGGTCCTCTGGAAGAGCAGCCAGTGCTCTTAACAAGGAGCCATCTCTTTAGCCCCCTAACTTCACACTTCTTTTTTCTTTTCTGAATTAAGCTTTCGGTATCACATTATGTCAAGGAGTCATGACCCAGCACAAAGCCAGTTAGATCCTCGCTCATGTGTTCTAGCCGTTTGACATTTCACATGGTGGTGTGTGTGGTCCGTTTTATCAACTTCCGTGGTGGTGTCCGTTTCGCAGGCAGGTGTGTCTGTTTCGATATACATGTCTTTAGCACTGCCTGCCTTGCTGTAGAGTCCTCTTGCTGTAGAACGCCTTGTCTCTACTGAGTTGCCTCTGCTCTTTCTGTCAAAGATCCGTTACCTTGTTGGCGTCTCTCAAGACCAACAGAGGCAATCTGTTGGGCCCTTCACCAAGTTCATTGGCTTGATTCATGTAAGATAAGCAAGGACCTCGGTGTTTTTTTAGGGAGATTTGCTGTCAGGGAGGCCCGAAGGACCCCAAGCCCACCTGAAGGATCTATGCAGGCAAGCGTCCTTCTGAAGAGCTGGGGAAGAACAGCCACCAGCATGCCGCAGTTCACTGGGACATAACTGAGAAAACGTTAAGATCGTGAAACTTCTGACAAGAGCAAAGCGATCTGAAAGCACTCGCGAGAAAGAGGTTCACAGGTGTCTCGGGAGCCAGGAAGAGGTCAAGCGCTGACACACAAGCCTGATGATGTGGCTTCCATCTGTTAAGCTGTCCCAAGATGGAGTCACCTAAGACACTGAGATGAATGACCTGTGTGGGACCCTGCTCCTTCAGGGAGAGGGAAACTGAATGTTCTGTACTCCCAGAAAACTTGCCGGCCCCTCATTTCAGCACAGCTAGGACACGAGCCTACTGCTATTCTAACTGCCAGTGGCCCCTCCCCCTGTAAACTTTTGCTCACTGCAGTCCTTAACACCCTCCTGTCACTATTCTGCCCGACTAAAGTCACCCTATAAAGCCCCAGACTCCGCCCTTTGGTGCTGTTCCTCGTCTTGGAGACTGCAAGCTCCTGCTTTAAGTAAACGCTTTATCTGTGTGCAGCACCAGGCTCTGGTGGGCTCATTCTCTCGTTAAGCCTCGAGCTACCCCTGAAAACCACCTTGGAAGGAGAGAACCAGCCCCTAAAAGTTGTCCTCTGATCCTCACGTGTGTGCTGTGGCATGCATGCACACACACACAGATAGAATCTGGGCGTGATAATGCATGCTTGTAATTCCAGCCTTTGAGAAGCTGAGGCTGCACTTTTTTTGAGTGTGAGCTATGCAGGGAGCTATGCCTTTAAACAGAGAGTGACTTCAGGACTCAGTTAAAGTATCCCTTAAAGGCCCAGTTCCAGCACTCAGGGAGGCAGAGGCAGGTGGATTCGCTCTGAGTTTGAGGCCAGCCTGGTCTACATCCAGGATAGCCAAGGCTGCACAGAGAAACCCTGTCTTGACAAACCAAAACCAACCAAACAAAAACAAACAAGTAAAAAAACGTTTAGTCAAGTATGGCCTTACTACATATTTCTGGCTGTCCTTGAACTTGATGTGTAGACCAGGCTGGCCTCAAACACACAGATCTGTCTCCTGAGTGCTGGGATCAAGGGCGTGCGTTGTGTGGCCACACCCAGTTTACATTTCCTTTCTTACTCCCCCCCTCCCCCCAAGACAGTTTCTCTGTGTACCCTTGGCTATCCACTTTGTAGACCAGGCTGGTCTTGAACTCACAGCGATCTGCCTGCCTCTGCCTCCCTGAGTGCTGGGATTGCCGGCGTGAGCCACTGTGCCTGGCTACATTTCCTTTTTTGAAGCCTGACTTTAGGGCTGAAGATGGTGCTTAGATAGCAGGATGGTTGCTTAGAAACTGCAAAGACCTGGGTTTAATGCCCAGCACCACAAAAAAAAATGGGCATGATGTTGCATACTTAGAATCCTTTCTAAGGAGATGGAGGTAGGAAGATCAGGAATCTGAGGTAATTCTTACTACATCCTGGGCTATGTGAGACCCTTTCTCAATAATTCAAGGCAATCCTCAGCTACCTGACAAGCTCCTGGTTGGCCTGGGCTACATAGTGTCACACTGAGTGGTCTATTACTGACCTAGCATAGGCAAGGCCTTGCAGTTAAATCTCTCTCTCTCTCACACACACACACACACACACACACACACACACACACACACACACCCCACTCCTATGTGCTTGGTTCTGCTCACTGAAAAGGCCTAGAAGGAATGGCAAGCCCCAAGCGATGAGCCTCTTAGAACCCAGAGTGTGAATTCAAAATGACTCTTCCTACTTCAAAGGACTAAGTGTCACCACAGCAATGGCTGATGCCAGACTCCAGGCTGGAAAATATAACGTGCAGTTAGAATTTCTGAGAACTCTGCGCTCTGAGGAATGCAGGTACGAGAATGCTACCACAGATATGATACCTGATTGCCAAACATCCAGTGTTTGCCACTCAGGAGACCTGCTGTCCGGAGTCTGGGTTATGCTTGTTGGCCTGGCCTTTATAAACTGTCATATGGTGTTGTGTGACAAAACTTTTGTGGGGAGACAAACACACACATACTACTCACTTCAGGGAGCCCACGACAGACCAAACTACAGATACCACAAAATTCTAGTGTGGTGAAAACTGAGTTTTACTGAGGTTACTTACAGGAGCAGAAATGATTCAAAGACAGCTGCATCACCAAAGCCCACCGCAGCACAGGTGACAGCACACAAAGCTGGGAACGTGGAGCACACTGCACAGCCCGAAAGGCAGCTCAGCAGGTTAGAGAGTGTCCTTCCTAGGTGACTCAGTCTAAACCTCTCCAAGGCAGCTCAGCTGGTCTCTGCTTCTTCTGGAGCAGTTGATCTGCTATGAGAGTCAGTCTTCTTTGCAGCTGGGCTTTGGGGAGGAGCCTAGTGAATCTGGTCAGTTTCAGGAACTTCCTGAAGCTATTTTAGTTGTTTACATTCTTGTTTAAGCAGCTTCCCTGCAGGATAGGACGTTTGGATCTCAGAGGAAACTGTTACACAACATCCAGTCACACTATTCAAGAGAGACCTTTTTAAAATATTTATATATTTACTATGTATACAATAGTCTGTCTGCATGCCAAGAGAGGATACCAGATCTCATTATAGATGGTTGTGAGCCGCCATGTGGTTGCTGGGAATTGAACTCAGACCTCTGAAAGATCAACCAGTGCTCTTAACCTCTGAGCCATCTCTCCAGCCCAAGAGAGACCTTTTTAATTTACTTTTAAATTCACTGGTCACTTTCACTGCTCCATCCTTCATCTGCTCCCCCCCAAATTTTTTTTAGTAAAGAATATTTAACAAATTTTAAAAATTACATTAATTGGCCCTGGAAGCATTCCCAGCACCCATTTGGTGTTTCCATTTGGTGTTTCCTGGGAAGTGGGGCTGGGAGAGTGCTTTCAACTGCCTTAACAGGCATTCCCCAGGGTGAAGGGGGAAGGTGGTGACTGGGTCCAGGCGGTTAAAGGCACCAGGCAGCTGGGCACAGGAAGTTGTGGAGAGGATCCCACGGGCCCTAGATCCCAGCTGCTTGAGGCAGAAGGACTGGAAGTTCAAGGCCAGCCTGAGCCGTGTCTGAAGACCTTATGGTGAAAGAAGGGCTGGGGATATACCCCAGTGGTAGAACACTTGCTTGGCACGTGGCAGGTCCTAGTTATAGAAAAGGAAAGGGGGGCGGGAGTGTTTCTGCTCTTGACACTGCGGCTCAGGGCTGTATCGCCCTTCACACTCTCGGAGGTTAAGGCAGGAGGCAATGAGGCCAATCTAGACTACACACACACACACACACACACACACACACACACACACACACGCCCTGGTCCCAAACAAACAAAAAACAGAAAAGGGACTATCAGCTGCCATTTCCTTTGGGTTTCAGACCAAAGGTCAGACGCATCAGACAAAAGGGTTTGTGTCCACCTACGGAAATCTCTTGAGGGCACAAAGGCCAAGACTAAATAGAGTCCGTGGAGTGTCTTAAGCACCAGCCCAGGGACCAAGGTCCTTCTTGCAGGGCCCTCAGCCACGACCGGCCTGCACCTGCAGGGGGCGCCGCAGACACACCAAGGCGAAGCGAGCCTCAGGCCGGGTGCGAGGCTCACGCCAAGCGCAGCATCTGGGAAAGGCTTCTCTAAAGGAACTCGTGAGGAGAGGCCAGGAGGGATGAAAGTTGATGGCGAGAGCAGAAAAGGGGCGGGGGAGGATTTAAAAAACGAGTCCTGCCACTGACCCCATCGCTCGGGTTCTTGAGCCTGTTTCCCCATCTACAGAGTGGACGGTGGGGGTTGGAGGGGCGCGGTGCGGGCGTTCGAAAAGCGCTCTCGCCAAGGTTTCGGGACAGCCTAGGCTCAAACCGCAAGTGCCACCCGCCCTCTCTGCTCCTCCCCGGCCTGAGCGTCTCCGCCTCCGGGCAGCCGTCAGCTCGGGGGAGCCGAGGTGGGTACGCGGCGGTCCTGGAGGCGGACACCGCGAGGCCTTGGCACGAGGGGACGCCTGGGGCACCCGGCCGGAGCCCCCTCCGACCCCGTCCTCCTCCCCGCCCCCGTCCCCGCCCCGAGGTCGCCGGCCGTCACCTGGGCGCTCCGTGGGGCCCGGGGCGGGGCGCGGGGCGGGGACGGGGGCGGGGGCCGGCGCCCCGTGGGAGGAGGCCGGCCACGTGACTCCCGCGGCCCGGCGGGGCTGGCCTGGCGGGGAGCGTCGCTGCGGAGCCCCAGCCGCGCGGGCACTGGCCGTCGGGGTCCCGGGACGGCGGGCCCCCGCCGAGCGCCCATGCCATGGAGAAGCTGGCGGCCGGGCTGGCGGGGCTGCGCTGGAGCATGGGCGCTTTCCCGCTCGACCTCATCGTCAGCCGCTGCCGCCTGCCCACGCTCGCCTGCCTCGGGCCAGGTAGCGGGGGTTCGGGGAGGGGGCGCGGGGCGGGGGCCGCGGACAGCTGGAGCTGGCGGGGCTGCCGGGCGCGCTCTGTCGCCGCCCTCCCCGCCCCCGGGGATGGGGAGCTTTGCTAGGGTGCCCGGGGCGCGGGGACCGCTCTCGGCCCCCCCACCCCCACAACCCCAGACCCACGCAGGGTTAGGAACTGGCGGCCAGGCCGGGGCAAAGTTTCCAGTCCTCTCCGGAGCCCCGAGCGCTGCTGAGTCTGTGGGCCGCTCCGCCGGCGCACCCCACTTTTCCCGGCGTCGGTGGGCGCCTGCCCCGGCCGCACCTCCTTGATCCCTTTGTCTGCAGCTTCTCCCCTTCATCCCCCTGCAGCTCTCGGACCTCAGTGGGTCTTTTCCCTCTCACCACCCGCTAGTCCCTGTTTGGGGGGACTTCTCCTGAACTGTCTTTTTTTCTCTCTCTCTCTCTCTTTTGGCATCCTGAGGTCCTCTGGCAGCGGACAGGCTACTCTCCGGAGAGGCCTGGGTGAGCGAGCCCTGCCACCCGCCGCCACCCCCACCCCCCCACCAGGCCCCCGGCCCTCTTCCACCTCTGGTCCCTTTTCCCCACCAGGCCCCCGGGGCTCCAGTGACGGGACCGTACATGGGAAGCCCGAGGGCTGCACAGGGCGAGCGGACTGTGGTGTTGGGGAAGGGAGAGCGGTTTGGCTGGGGGAGGGGCGCGAGCCGGGGCTGGCAGCCAGGCCGGGGGTTTTGTGTGTGAGAAGAATAGGGGTTTGGCCCGCGTTGGCACACTCGCTTCCCTGAATGCTAATGGCACTCCTGGGCTCTCTTCTGGGCCTGGCAGCTCCTCTCTGACCCGCAACAGCAGGAACGGGGCGCAGTGAGCCCCAGGCGGGCCGAGGCAGGCCCTGTGGGACGTGGGTGTTCATCCGGGCCCGTTAGGCAGGAATCCCCCGCGGTCCAGCTCTTGTGGCACCTCACCCGCCCCTCGGCGTGTGATCCCGAGACTGTGTGTGCAGCTGGACTGTGTCTGCTTGTGAATAGGAAATTCTGCCCTAGGTTCTTCCTGCTCACTTCCCACGCAGCTCTTTGACACCCCTTTCTTTGAGTTCTTTTCTGTGCTCTTCTGTGTGGCTGGGCCTCCTCTGCGGTCCCTGACACCTGGGCGTCCCATTATCATCCTCAGTTTCCTGTCTTCCACTGGGCTGCTGCTGGCTTTTGGGGGAGGGCCAAAGATTACGGACTTGTGAGCTGAATGAATGAGCAGCGGTGTGGGATGGCCTGGCTCTCCGTGACAGTGTGGCTGCGCCTGGGTCACGGGTAGCGTGTGGACGTGCGCTTGAAACTGCGCGTCGCTGAAGGTCCCCTCGCGATATGCATTCAGGATGGGTCCCTCAGTGGGATCTCAAGACTGCGTCGTGCTGTCTGGGTGACAGGCGTTTGTCCTGGCGACCCCCTGTTGGTGTGTCTACCTGTGTGGCTTTGGGCTGTGTCCCTTGGAAGAGTGGGTGGGGCTTGTTAGCTTAGCTCTAGAAAGAGCTTGTCCTCTCCTCCAGGAGCTTGGAGGAGGAAGGTTCAGGCAAACCTCTCCTGTGCGCACTCATACTCATACCCAGAATGGGAGATCCTCCCAGAAGGCCCTGGATAACCCCACCCGTTCATACACACCACACGACGAAAGTGCTTTCTGAAGCACCCCCTCCCCCGCGCTGTTAAGAAAACCATTTCCAATTTGTTTGGCTGGTAGAAAATTTGTAAGGTGTGTGTGTGTTGTATGTGGTGCTGTGTGTATGAGTGTGTGGGGTGTATGTGGTGGTGTGGAGTGGGGGGGTATGTGTGAGGGGGCTGGAAAGGAGACGTCCCCACCCCCACTGCGCCCACCAGCTGCATCCAGGATACGCCCCAGCAGTCTCCTGGAAGCTGGGCTGCCCCTCCTGCTCCCCTGGAAACCGTTGCTGGGGATGGAGCCTCTTCGGCTCAGACCCCTCCCGGCTCTGCACCTCTGCCCCTCTGCTGCTCTCCTCCCCCTCCCCCAGTGCACTTTGCTAAATCCAGTGCATGTCCTACCCCAACTTTAAGAATGGCTTCTCTGAGGTGGGGTTCGGGTGTGTGTGTGTGGGGTCCCCTCCCCCATCCTTTGAGGTCCCATGAATGTGAGACTATGGCAGTGGGTGGGGAGGAAAGGCATCTCCCAGAGTTCCAGGAGTAGGCTCTGTAAGCCCTGCCACTCTGAGCTGACAGTGACTGTGGGAACTCTCATAGCCGGGACCCACAGGGACAGATCCCTTCTAGTTCCTTCCTTGCCTGGCCTGGGCATTGACTTGGCAGGATCCCCCTGTGCGAATGTGCCTGGTCCTAAGGCCCGACTCTTGTCAAGAGCAAAGTCTCTCTTACTCCACACCAGCCTGATCTCTCCTCCATGGTCCTCTGTGCCCTCAGCTCAGGGCCTCCAACTTGCTTCCTCCAGGTCTCCCGAGGCCTGAGCGTGCCTGGAGGGCAGAGGCTGGCTGGCCTGACTCATCCACTGGGAGTCCCCCGCCCCAGCCTGAGCCCCAGGACAGCACTCCAGCGGAATGATGAATGTGAGGCTGCGGTGCTCCGGTTGCCGTGTCCCCACAGGGAGTCGGAGCTCTGCTGCTCAGGCCTGACTCACAGCTGACAGCCCGCTGGCCCTTCTGGTGCTGCTGGCCAGTACAGGGATCACAGGGCACGAGGCAGGGACTTGCTGAGGAAGGGGCTGGGTCACCCAGTCTCTTCTTTCTTCTGACTCTCTCTCCCCTTTCTTTCCTCCCCTCCCAGGAGAGTATGCGGAGGGTGTCAGTGAGCGCGATATCCTGCTGATCCACTCTTGCCGCCAGTGGACGACAGTGACAGCCCACACCCTGGAGGAGGGCCACTACGTCATTGGGCCCAAGATTGACATCCCTCTGCAGTACCCAGGTGTGCCCAGCTGGAGCCAGGGGCTCAGGATCTCTGAGCGTGGGGAAGCAGGAGGGCTGGGACCAAGGCTGCAGGGGCAATGTGTATGGAAAGCCACTAATGATCACTTTCCCTTGGAGCTTCAGGGATGAGCTAGGCCAGGCAAGACTAGTCCGGGAGGTGGGTAGAGGCCGTGGTTAATGTTAGGGCTTAGGACTCTCAGTACTGTGTGTGGAGACCTGTTTCTGAAGAAGTAGCAACTCAGGTTTACAGAGTTTTGATTCTTATTTTATATTTTGGAGACAGGTGCTTGCCATGTAGCTCATGCTGGCTTTGAACTCATGTTTAGCCTCCTGCCTCAGGCTCCTAAGTACTCTGATTATAAGCATGAGCCATTATGCTAGGTCATATTTTATTTAAAAATTTAAAGTCATGATTAAAAATACCCCCCCCCCCTTTTTAAGACAGGGTCTCAGCCAGGTGGTGGTAGTTCATGCCTTTAATCACAGCACTTGGGAGGCAGAGGCCAGCCTGGTCTATAGAGTGAGTTCCAGGACAGCCAAGGCTACAAAGAGAAACCCTGTCTCAAAAAAAAAAAAAAAAAAACAAAACAAAACAAGCAGGGTGCGGTGGTGCACGCCTGTGATCCCAGTACTCAGGGAAGCACAGTCAGGTGAATCTCTGTGTGTTCAAGGCCAGCCTGGTCTACAAAACAAGTCCAGGACAACCAAGGCTTCATTCACAGAGAAACCCTGTCTCAAAAAACAAGCAAACAAAACCAACCAAACAAACAAACGAAAAGACAGGGTCTCACTGTATAGATCAGGCTGGACTTGAACTCATAGAGATCTGTCTGCCTCTGCCTCTCAAGTGCTAGCACTACAGGTATGCCCCCATGACAGCTGGCAAAATATACACATGCCGTTAAGCAACTAGAAGTCAGACTTCATCCCTAACTGGAGAGCTTCAAAGCTGCATCCTGAGCTGCCTTTGACTCTACTCCCAAAGAGAAAGCCTGCTAGGATCTGCTCAGTACCAGACAGTCCAGGCCAAGGAGTGCTCAGGCCAACTGTGGCTGCCTGTCAGCTTGGACACTTTCTCCCCAGTTCAGTGCTGAACTCACTGTCTTCACGGATGGGCTTTATAAACAATGCTGACGTGTTAGAGTTCTAAAGACTTGGCTGATTATGTGTTATTATTTGCTCTTATGTGTTCTGTATTATTTATGTTTTATTTGTTGGCAGTACTGGCCTCGTTCATGCTAGGTGAGCACTCTAAACCCCGGTCCCTCCCTCTCTTTTTATTTTTTAATTAGATTTTTATACAGTCATTGTGTGTGTGAGTGCGTGTGACCTAAACACAGCTCTTCTGCTCAGCTTCAAGCACCTTTCACAAGGAGACTTCTCAGCCATCCTCGTTATTTTGAAGCATGGTCTTGCCTAGGTTTGCTCTGTCGTCCAGGCAGGTCTTAAACTTGGGCTCCTTCTACCTCAGCCTCCTGAGTGGCTGGGGTTACAGGCCTGCACCATGCCACGGGAGGGGGGGGGCGACTCTTTGTGTTTAATGTAAAGTTTTGTTTGAAGAAAGGATCCACTACCAAAAGAAAGTGTAGCGCTTCGATTTTGCAGGTAGGGAGACCAAGGGCCCCAGGAGGGCAGAGACCGTTGTGGGTCACAGGGCCACTCAGTGAACCTGGGCATCCTCAGCACTGGGCTCTGTACTGCATTATGCCAGCACTACAGGGCTCTTGTCCCCAAAGGACGAGCCCGGTGCCATCCCCAGAAACGTCTCCATGCAAGCCCAGGGCAACCATAGCTAGTACATTCCAGATCCTGGGCCCGTCCTCATTTTGTCTTCACAGTTGCCTCCTTTTAAGAGCTAGAGAGCGAGGCTCCAACTCTGTGCTTTTAACTGCTGTGCAGCTCTGTCCCTGCTCCCAGCCCCGGCTGCAACCTTTGGAGCCGGGAATGCTCACACTCCTTCCCTGGCCTTACCGCTGCTCTGTCTTAGCCTGGGCCCCCTTGAGTCTGTGCATCAAGGCTTAAAACCTTGCTCCAGGTTTGAGCTCCTTCGAACACACTCCAGGGCCCAGCGGGCCCCAGTGTCTCACTGACTTGGGTTTTTATCCTGGCCGCAGGCTTTTGGTGTCTGCTCATGCTAGAATCCCCCCCCCCCCCCCGTACCTGAGAATCTAGCATTGGCGCAGTTAGAAGTCTCTACCTTCTTCAGCTAAAAATAAAGAAATAAAAATTAAAAAATAGCGGTTTGGGAAAGCCTTCACACTGGCACCCTTTTAGTTTGTATCTTTACAACTAAAGTCACAGAGTCCCCAGAAAACTATGAACGGAGGCAGGAGAGCCCTCAAGCCCTTACCCCCTCTATTCACCCCCTTCTTCAGTGAGCCTGAGAGGTGGGGACAGGACGGCGGGGTAACAGCTGGCCGGCAGGGCCTGCGGCCCCAGCTCCCTCTTCCGCTGGGGGCCTCGCTCACTTCGCGGGAGTGGAGGTGGGGGCTGGGCCTCCGAGGAGGCTCGGAGCACAGGCTCCACGCTGAGCCCTCCCAATGAATTAATAATGGCACTGGCCGGGCCGGCTGCGGCCAGCGGGGGAGGGGCGGGGCTGGGGGTGCTGCCGCTGCTCCTCCCGGTCTCCAGGCTGCGGGAGTCAGGGTCACTTGGTGTCTTGAGACATCTGGACCAGGGCTGCCTTGGGGTCCGGACACCCTCCCCAGCTCTTTCCAGAGCGGTGGCCTGGGTCCTGCTGAGCCCTTGTCAGGTGCGCGTCGCGGTATGCATCCATATTACATATGAAACGCCAAAGTCCAGATAGTGAGGGATTTCACGTGCCGGTTGGTGGCAGAGCTGAGACCCAGCCACGTCCTACCACGAGGTCTGCTCGCTCCCACCTAACAGCCCCGGGGACGCGCCGGGCCCTGCGCGGAGGAGGCGGGAGTCACAGAGTTCCCACCGCTGTTCTTTACTGGGTTTTGAGAGGCAGCTGCAGGGTGCTTCTGGCTGGAAAGGACGATCACTCCAGTGCCGGTGTGCGACAGTGCCAGTCCCCAGATCCTGTAGTAGACCCTGCCACTAACGCCGACGTTGGGGGAAGCAGGAGAGGAAGCTGCAGGGCGGAGAAGGCTTCTAGAGGCCAAAGCTCCACTCCCGGGAGGTCTCCCTTCCTTCCTCCCCGGCTGAAATGACCCGGCTGGGCGGCTGAGGGGGGCGGGGCTGGATACCATGGTTACATCGATCTTTTCTGCCACATCCTCCCAGGATCCAACCCTGACAGGGCTCCAAATCTCGCCACGGGGGGCAGCAGGCTTTTCTCCACGTCTGGCTGCTCGTGGCTGAGGGCTGGGGGTTCGTGTGTGAGTATGGAGGAGGAGACTGAAGGGGGTTGGAGGGTGTCCTGCTCCTGGACTCTGGCCCCCTCTTCATTTTATCCCTGATGCCTTGGGCTGTGGTCCTTCTCCTCTCTAGTGTCTGGGAGGTTGGGGCTGGACCAGGACCCTCACCCCAGTTTGCTCTAGGGCACCTCCCCTATCCTCCCTTCTCTTCCTTAGTTCCCGCTCTCTCCGTGGTGCCCGGATGTTGGTGGTTCAGTCCCTGCCCTTGGCCAGGGGCTCTTCAGGTCAGGCACCAGGGGTCTCTTAGTCTCTCTCTGCCCCTGGATGGACTTTGGGAGGGCCAGGAACCCCCTTCACTGTGTTTATACTAGTGTGGGCTTCTGGGGGTGAGGTCATGGGTCCCCAAAGGGTTAAGACCCTCTTTTCCACTTTGGCGCTTCTGTCTGTTGCTCTGTTGTCCCCACACATACAAGTGGTGCTACCCTATGGACCCCACCTGAAGCCCCTTTGGTGGTCTTCGAGGATCTGCCTCCATCATGCTCCATCACCCTCCTCTTGGTTCCCTGTGTGGAACAGGCAGCCACCCCATAAGTGTGTCACCTCAGCCCTTTCCTTCCTCACTTCCCTCGAGTCACTGGGCTCTGAGGAGCCATCCTTCCAAGTATCCCAAGGGTCTGCTCCTCCAGAGAGCTTCCTTCATTTTCTTTCCTTTTTTTTTTTTTTTTTTTTTTGTGTGTGTGTGTGTGTATGAATGTGTGTACAGACATGCATGTATATGTGATACTCGTGCAAGCGTATATGTCAGAATGTGTGTGTATGCACACTGGTGCAGAGGCTCAAGATTGGCGTCAGGTGTCTTCCTTGGTTGCTCTTTGATTTATACAGGGAGGCAGGGTCTCTTCCTGTACCGGGGGTCCCTCCCTTCTGCTGGTCGGGCTCCTTCCTCGGCTTGCTCTGAGGATTGCCTATCACACTTCCCTTGAGCTGGGGTTACAGACATTCTCCCATGCCCACCTAGCTTTCCATGTGGGTGCTGGGGACCTGAACTCTGATCCTCATGTTTGCACAACAGACACTTTACCTGCTGGGTCATGTCCCCAGTAGGCCCCCCCCCCCCCCCGATTTCTTACAGAATAAAACATCCATTCTGTAAAGCCACTTTCATTTGAGAGGTGCATCTTGGCAATCTCCCCCACCACTCACCACCACACGCGCGCGCGCGCACACACACACACACTCACACGCTCTGTGCTGGGCAGGTCTCTCTCTTTCACACACACACACACACACACACACACTCACACGCACTGTGCTGGGCAGGTCTCTCTTTTGTGCCTCAGGACTTGTTACATGCTGTCATCGCTGGGTCCTCACTGTCTCTACTCTGCCTGAATTTCTTGAGAGCAGACTGTTTACAGACCTGTCCGTTCTGAGTGTGGTAGTGACTGAGGCAACACTGGGTGCGCCATGAATGTGAGAGAGCTGTGGTGAGGGGATGCGGCAGAACTGGGGAAACTATGTCCTCTCTCCATCGTCTTCTCTCACAGTCCTCACCTCTTCCGGCGTCTCCTTCTGTGTGAAGGCAGGGTGGCTCTCAGCCTACCTTTAAGCTCATGAAGGTAGGCACAGAAGTGGGTGTGGCTTCTGCCCGCCTGGATCCCAGAGGGACTGACTGGATGGTTTAGGATAGCAGTTAGGCAGGGGGCTGGGTGTTCCAAGGACTCAGACTGAGCCCCCAGCACGCAGCTTCCCCCAGCAGCCTGTGTGCCCTGTGCAGGCAAATTCAAGCTCCTGGAGCAGGCTCGGGATGTGCGGGAGCCCGTGAGATACTTCAGCAGCGTGGAGGAGGTGGCCAGTGTCTTTCCTGACCGAATCTTTGTGATGGAAGCCATCACCTTCAGTGTCAAGGTCAGTCCTCCTGGCACAGGGTAGGACCTTCCCAAGCACCCCTTCCCTTAGGTTAGAATGCTGCTTATTGCGTCCAGGAGGGAGAGTGGCTTCCGAACATTCTTTGGTACAGTCAGGCCACGCCAGAAAAGCCAGCTGTGGACTAAAGGACTTCCTAGGAAAGGTGGTGAAGAAGGGAGGGTGTGTGGAGGGGTCGCGCGACCCGATGAGAATATGCAGGGTGGCCTTCTCATCCACCAGTTACTTTCTCTTCACAGTAGTGGTGGGTGGGTGAGGCATTGTTACCACGCAGATAAATGGTCAAGACTGCTTAATGAAATCCGCCACGATTGAGCACTGTCAAGGTACACCTCCAAGCTCATAGTATCGTATGAGGTAACTGAGGACCTAAGGACAACGTTAAAATCCCTTAGATTCCCTCCAGCCCCAATCCAGTGCTCTTGCCCTGACGTCAGCAGCAGCCGGAAAGGCAAAGACAGGAGGCCCCACGGAGCTTGGAGCTGGTGTGTGACTTTCCTTGGGACCCTGGCTCCGTCCTCACCTTGTCTCTGGGACTCCCCAGGTGGTGTCGGGCGAGTTCAGCGAGGACAGCGAGGTGTACAACTTCACACTGCACGCGGGCGACGAGCTCACGCTCATGGGCCAGGCCGAGATTCTGTGCGCCAAGACCACCAAGGAGCGCTCGCGCTTCACCACGCTCCTGCGCAAGCTGGGCCGCGCGGGGGCCCTGGCGGGAATGGGCGGCCCCGGGAGCGTGGGGACCGCGGCGGGCGGCAGCGGGGCCGCCAGGCCCGTCAAAGGCAAGATGCCCTGCCTCATCTGCATGAACCACCGCACCAACGAGAGCCTGAGCCTGCCCTTCCAGTGCCAGGGCCGCTTCAGCACGCGCAGCCCGCTGGAGCTGCAGATGCAGGAGGGCGAGCACACGGTGCGCGCCATCATCGAGCGCGTGCGGCTGCCGGTGAACGTGCTCGTGCCCAGCCGGCCGCCGCGCAACCCCTACGACCTGCACCCGGTGCGGGAGGGCCACTGCTACAAGCTGGTCAGCATCATCTCCAAGACGGTGGTGCTGGGGCTGGCGCTGCGCCGCGAGGGCCCGGCGCCGCTGCACTTCCTGCTGCTCACCGACACGCCGCGCTTCGCCCTGCCGCAGGGCCTGCTGGCCGGGGACCCGCGCGTCGAGCGCCTGGTGCGCGACAGCGCCTCCTACTGCCGCGAGCGCTTCGACCCCGACGAGTACTCCACCGCCGTGCGCGAGGCGCCCGCCGAGCTGGCCGACGA